AGACTTTTTGCGGATTCTATAGAACATTCTAGAAAAAAGAGATCCTGAACGAAATTCGTTGAAAATGTCGTTTTTGATATAAAAACAGCGAGATCCTGTTCATCTCAATGAAATTCCTGGAAACAAATTCTATGAAAAACGTACTAAAGAAGAGAATCGGAGAGAGATGTTTTTTCTTCCATTTTCACTTTTCCCGATAAATCGTCACTCTGAGATGAGGCGATGAAAATGACGGAATTTACAAAAAAACCAATAGAGAAGACAGGAGAAATTGTATTACATCTTTATCCTGACAGATGACACTTGTCGGTGTGGTCTCTTTTTGCGGTGATTGAAAAGAAAAGGGTTAGGTAGGTCAAAATGTTTTTATTGATGAATGTCTGTTCACGTTTTATTAATATTAAAACAAGACAAAAAGAGAGAGAGAGAAAGAGAAAGGTGTGTGTTGATGGATGAGGAAGAAGGTCTGGATGAATAGAAAGAGCTAGGAAAAATGAAAAAAAAAGGATCTAGCAACCTCTAACATTTGAAGCTTGAAAATTCAGAAGACGAGAGCTTCAAAACCGAAACTTTAAGACGCTAATTGTGAGATTGATACCGGCAAGGGGTTTTAATCAATTGAGTAATTCATGTGTCGTTTCTAAAAACTGCGTTGTTTTTAATATTGAAGTTTTTGAAGCTGAACTTTAAAATCTGGAAGACCCATTGTAATTTCAGAATCGAAGCATTTTTTGAGACTGACTACAAGATTGCGGCTTCAAAATTGAACAACATTACTGAATATTTTGAGTTTCTCTAGTTCATTCTGAAGATGAAACAGTGAAACGGTGAAAATTATTATACCAAACCGTCAAACCGGAAGATCTGATTAATATATCTTCCGTATGATTATACTGGCACAAAACAATCGGAGCTGTGGAAGAGAAACTAAAGTGATAGTCTGGCTGGGGAATGACGACGAATAAAATATTGTTCTCTAATAGAAGAGGTGAAAGTCCTAGCCTAAAAAGTTTCTGAAAAACGATCAGTGCTCATTATTTTTCCGTTACAATTCTACTTTTTTAGTCACTCTATTTTTTAGAAATTTTAATCTGGTGCTGCTACAAAAATCCGAGCCGAGGAAGAGAAAAAGCCAGTGATCGTGGCTGAAGTCCCACAACGTGGCTGAAGTCCCAGTCCCACAACGACAACCACCGTGACCTAATAGTTTTTGCTTTTCCGGATTTTTTTTTTCGATTTTCGTGCATTTTCGCTATCAAAAAATTTTATTTTCCGACTTTGTTTTCCGAAAAAAATAACAGAAAACTACGAAAAGCAGTGAAAAACAAGAAAAGGAATCTGAAAGATAATAATATTTCAGGTTACGGTAGTTTTCGTTGTGGGACCTTCGGCCACGACCATCAACGTTTCTCTTCCACAGCTTCGATTTTTGGAACCAGAATAATAATAAGAGCTGCTAATACAAACTTGTTTACCATTAAGACGAGTTTTTTTACTATCCGTTTTATAACACTGCGAAGAAACACTACTTTTTTAAATCAGTTATTTTTGGAAACTTTAAAGGGGGACTCTGGTCAAATTTTTTATTGCATTAAAATGTGTTAAAAATTATCTATTTTCCTAATACTATTGCGAAAAAATTCGAAAAAAATTCGAAATCCCCGAAAAACGCCGTTGAAAAGGGAAAAAATTCAAAAAAAGGTGCCGCCCAGGGACGAGGATTTTCAGTGAGAAACCTAGGCCACGCGAGCGGCGCGACTTTCTTACCGGACAACTTTTCCGGAGTTTTTTCGCTTTTATCTCCGACAGCTAAAAAACATTAAAAGACACTGTCGGCCACTTGAAAATAATGCTATCAGGCGCCGTAGCCTTGTTTTCTCACTGCGCGGGAATTCAAGTCCTCGTTCGGGGACTTCGGATTTCTTTTGAATTTTTTCGCAATAATATTAGGAAAATAGATAACTTTTAACACATTTTAATGCAATAAAATTTTTTGGTCGGAGTCCCCCTTTAAGATCAAAAAATTGCAGTGAATGGGTAGAAAAACTTATATTTTCCTTTTTTTTTGTTTTTTAATTCAAGAGAAAAGTGTGCAGAAACTCAAATTTCTCAAAAATGTTAAAAGTACCCCTCAATAGGTAAAGCATCTGACAGACTTTGTAAAGTGAAAAAAAACTAGTTTTAAAAAATGGGTGAGGCTGTAAATGTTCGGAAATTACCAATTTTCTATGTTTTTCAAAAAGTAAATAGTTTACTGAATAAAATTCTCTCAATCTCGAGAACAGAACAGTTAATTCTTCTATTCCAAGTACAAAGTTTTATCAAGTTTATGCTCTAATTGAAACAGAAAGAATAGCTGCTGACTTTTGTTTACGAATAATTGAAATTGAATCCGATTTGTTTGGAGAAATTTTTGCAGCAAAACGAAATGGCATGAGCAATTTCGGTTCGGTACAACGAATTCAGTGATTTTCGATAATTGGCATTAGTTATTGTTTCGACTCCACTACAAACTTGTTGAATCTTTTTATAACTCATTGGTTAAACTGAACGTAATATATAAAACCAAAAAATGAAACGACCACCCAGTTTGATGGACTGTTTGTGGAGGTACTCGACGAGATGAACATGCAGAGAAAAAATACCGACAAACTGCACTTGAAATACACGGATTCAAAAAGGAAACTCCTCCCGAACAACAATTACCCATTGGCAAACAAATTTAGAAGAAAAAAAGAGTTTTTTGAAAAGAATGTGATGGAGAGGATCAAAAAACAGAATGAAGAGAAACACCAGTGGCCGTCGCCGAAGGTCCCATAATCAAAAATACCGTAACCTTAAAATATTTCAATTTTCGTTTCGTGTGTTTTCAATAACTGAAACTTGTTGAGAAGCAGCAAGACAATAAATCCCGAAAATATATATACTGTTAGATTACGGTAGTTGCTTTGTGGGACCTTCGACCACATTTTTATCCCAGAATAATAGTAACATAAGAATGAAAATCAAGAATTGAGTATTAAAAATATAAATTTTAGTTAAAAAATTGAATCATTCTGGACTTCTTTAAAAAAAAAACCAATTTTGGAAAAGAAGCTTTTAAGTGATTTCTATAAAAATTGACGAATCATGAAAATGACTCTTTTGAATTTGAAATGACTACTAAAGGCTGAAACTGTGAAATGAGCTATCATCTGTTAAGTGAAAATTCGGCACTTTTGCAGATGTTTTGAAAAGTAATTTTTCCGAAAAATTTCAGTTCACTTTACAATCTACTTGATTACGTTTTCCTAATAACTTGCTTGACTATAACTGAGATCAAAAATTGGATGAAACAGTAATTTTTGTGAACATTCTGAAAAAAAGAAAAATCAAATTTTTGCTTTCATATCAAACATGACTTCGGTTTTTAGAAGAGGACAAAAAAAAAAGATTCATAATCAGAGAAATCTCAGAAAATTTTAACAAAAAACTACATTATCAAATCAGACAACCTCTTTTAGTGTTTTAATATTCTTTTTGTGATAATAACTCGTTTGACTACATATGATTCTGAAAACTTATTCATCCTTTTCCATTGTAAATTTTTTTCAGAAAGGGACTAACAAAGATTCAGCATTTTCACAAATGTTCAGATACTGAAAAAAAACAGGCCTATTATTTAGGGCAGAAAATTTTAAGACAACTAGAACTCCGCACCAAACGGACAAAATCGTATAGCTGTGGTTTGATTCATCTGACTGACACACAGCTGCACAAAAGTTTCCCACAGACTCCGCCCACTTATCGGTCATGACCTGGAAGAGTGCAGCTGGTGTCGCAGGTGCACCAGACCCAAAAAAAACTAGAAAAGAAGGAATGAGAAGTATCTATTACTCGAAAACGGTATCAAAGTGAGAAGAATGTATACTGTTCCGCGTGCTCTTACGCTTTCCGCACGGTTCTTTAGGCTCAATCGGAGGCTCTCGAAAGTGCGCGTTTCCGCACATTTCGAGAGCTCCTCAGGCCCTCTCGAACGCCTCTTTTTTCTTGTCATTCCGCTCAAAAGAGAAAGATGCTCCAGAGCATTTTTTTTCAACTTTTTAGGTGGAATGTTGGTGAGGGTAGTCTTCTGAAGATTTTCTACAGATCGTCAACTTCGAGCCAATTTTTGTCGTTTTCTATGATATTGAAAAATAGTTAACGAACAAAACGTTCATCATAATTTCAAAAAAGTTTTATCACTTCCCAATTTGTTGCTATTTTTCACAGGAACCGACAAAAACTTGCTCAAAGTTGACAGTCAAGGTGCGAATCTATTGAATATTTTACGGAAACACAGTATCCTAGCAAATTCAGTGTATTCATCTCATATCAGCCAAACAACCCTCATTGGTTCGAAATTTAACAGATTTCGCAGTGAACGATGATAGAGAAGTATTATGTATATCATTAAAGTTTGCAAAATATGTAAGTTAGCAGAAACGGCAAAAATGTGAGAGTAAAATTTTTTCTATACTCCTCTTGTCGTCAAATTTACCAGGAAATTTGTAGAATTGTTACATTGATAAATTGTGTGAAACTTAAAAAATTCTTTCAAAGTTTGACTCCAGTTTACGATGTTTTTCGGATAGCTGGAGCACCATGATGGTGATTTTTCTTTTTTAAAAATCTGAGAGGATCTATGCCGAAGCTCGTCAGACTGAAATTACAGAAAGGCTCGTCCACGAATTTTTTAAACAGGGTATTTCCAATTTCACCAACTGACGAACCAACCTGTAAAAGAAGGTCCCCACACTGTCAAGTTTTAGTCAAATTTTCTCGGCTCCTGTGAAAGATATCCGAAAAAACAGTCAACAAACAAAACGTTCATCATGTTTTCAAAAACATTTTATCAGTTTCGATTCCTTCCCAGGAGCCGACAAAAATGGGTGCAACGTTGACAGACAGGGTCCAAATATTTTTCAAATTTGACAGAGCTAGTGTGGCTCATATTACTATACCAGGAAAGTTTGCAAAACATGAAAATAAGCAGAAACAGAAAAAAGTTTGAGAGGGAAGTTTATTTTTCTATTCTTCTGGAGTCTTGCAAGACCCGCAGGAAAAGTGCGAGTCTTGCACGTGAAATAAGAAATTGCGAGCATTTGCAAGAACGAGAATTTGCGAGACGAGACAAAGCGAGCATCTGCGAGTGCGAGACGAGACAAGCATTTATGCGAGACAAGACAAGACAAGTCCCGGAAATTTCTTGCAAGACCTGCAAGAATTCTCGATCTTCCCAGATGCCAATGCTCGCGAGACGGAACTCTACTGTTAACTCACAGGAAAATGTTTGTGTGTAAAGCTGCCATATTTTCCAGGTTTTCTGTTTCAGAACCAACGAATTTGTTAATTTGAGTAACTATTCCTTTTGATCTTTTCATTTTTATTCTGAATTCCCAAACCTTTTATGGCTCAAAATGAAAAAAAAAACACCATAAAAATGATTCCCATTCCCACCACCCCCGCTCGCAAAAAAGGCTATTATTCAATTTTCATACACCTATAAAAAGTGGCCAGTCCCAGATCATTCCAAGTCGAATGTCGTCTTCTATTCTTGTTCTCTGCCTCCTCGTTGGGACATCATGGGCTTTTGTCCCAGATGATCCAGATTTCAGAGGAGATAATTTCATCGGAAGATATCCTAATGATATTTTCGACTTCAATCGAAACGCCTTCGCCCCTTCCTCGGATACAGCTCAACAGGTCGTCGAGAAGTTCTTGGCAAGAATGACTAGATCTCTGGAATCAAAGGATGTCGCTGTGATTTCTGGATTGTTCCAGCCTGGATTCGTGTTCAAGGGGTGCAAGGGAACTTATGATAAGAGTGAGTATTCTAGGCTTTTGAGATACAGTACCAATCAGTAAGATATTCAAATACATATTTTTCAGTTCATTTCGGTAATTTTCAAGTTTCCGAGCACTTTCCAAATTTAAGAATGTGTAAAACAGAACTAGATTGATAACTTTGCATTCACAGAATTTTTTGAAAATTCTTTTTTTTCGATTGACACCCCTTTTGAAAGACACCCCTTTTCGGACCGTTTTTGTAACGAAAACATGGAAAAAATAGGTGTCTTTCACTATTAAAGGAATTTTCAAAAAATTCTGTGAATGCAAAGTTTTCAATCTAGATCCTGTACATTCAAAATGGTACTGTACATACAAAGAAAGAACACTTAGAATACCTTTGATAAATCCCTTCTACCCTAAAAACTGTTCCAGCACAAATCATCGGTCTCTTGTCCCGAATTCCATCTGGAACCCAATTCACCCTCACCCTCAAATCAGTCCTCGATACCGGATCTTCTATCAAGTATACTGTAGTCTCCAGTGGATTCGGACCAGCTTCCATTGAAGCAAACTTCGTCTTGAACAAGATCGATCAACAATTGGAATGTGGAGAGATTCCAGCTTGTCAGAACAGCCGCTTTGTGACCTTCAGATCAGTTCAAAATCCAGCTGAGGAGATGGTGAAGAAGTTTTTAGCTCGTGTGACCAGATCGATTGAGTCCAAAGACACCTCCATCATCCTGGGTCTTTTCCAACCTAGATTCTGGTTCAGAGGTTGCAAGGGAAGATATAACAAGGGTAAGTCATACTAAAATCGAAGGAAAAAGAAAAAAGTTTCTAGAACAAGTCGTCGGGATGCTCACCAAGATCCCAGCCGGCATCAAGTTTTCGTTCACTCTTAAGTCAGCTGTTTCCCTTGGAGACATGATCAAATATATTGTCACTATCACTGGAATCCGTGCAACTCCAGTCGACGCTGAATTTATGCTACACATCGCGGACCAAAAATTGATATACGGTTATATTTGGGATTGCCCAACAAGTGGATTCCTGGGATTCTCTCAGCCGGAAGATTCGAATGCTGTCGTCCAGAGATTCCTGACCTCGATGAAGCCAATTCTGGATTCCCATAAACCAGCTCTCATTGGAAAACTGTTCGACGACGCTTTCATTTTCAAGGGATGCCATGGAACATACACAAAAAGTAACAATTTTTCTGAGGCTAATAAGATCTTTCCATAAACCATATTCAAAAATTTTAGCCCAAGCCATCGCCAAGATCACTTCCCTTCCATCCGGCGCCTCTTTCGATTTTTCATTGATCAACTCGAAATGGAATAATCAGGGACAAATCGAGTACACTGTCTATGTATCCGTTCCAATGATGGATAGAATTCAAGCACAATTCGTCTACTGTCCACACAGAAATGTGCTCAAGTCTGGAAGTGTTCCTGGGTGTGCAGCCAGCAGATTCAATGTTTTCTATTGATTGGACTATTTGTCATGAATAAATATTATGAGCGTTCAAAAAACATTTTTTACATTTTGCAAGAGTCAGAGAACTCAAAAATCTAAAAAACCTTTAAAATAAAGAATTCTGATGACGTGGCTGCTCCAGAAGACGTTGTTGGTGTTTTAGCGTCATCTTTTTTTCATCCAATGGAGTCGTTCAGATTATTGAAGGCGCTGTTGTGTCTTCTGTAGTTATATCTGTGTCAGATTTCGGGACATCGGAATCTGTAGGCGTGGCTGGCGAATTTAAGAACTATAAGTGTGATTGTAGCCGCCGACAGGCGGCGGAAATCGATTTGTATCAAAAAATACAACACAACTTTCCACCACACACATTTTTTGTTTGACTAGAGCTTTGAAATTTTTAGTTTTTTATTAGTTTATTCAACACTTAATATCTTTCATGACCTAATAGTTTTTTAATTGAGTTTTTAAGATTTTCGTCTTTTACAAAGTTATTGTTAACTGTCAAACCACGACTTCAAGACACAACAAGAGGGACCACCAACAAAAACAGAAGGATAACTAACAAGACAACGGAAAACTACAAGAAGAACCACCACAACCAGAAGGACTGCTCAAAAACTAGGAGAACACCAAGACAACAAAGACAGCGACAGCTTTGAACAGACGAAGCGAAAAATCGAGGAAACCGAAGAGTCGAAGAAAAAGCGCTGGCACTTGGGTTCAAGCCAACGGGTCAGAAATCGCGGCCTAGTAAATGTGAGATTTTATAAAAAATTCGCTTCTGAATGTGGCTGAGAATCAAACTTTTAAACGTTGGGCGAAAAAATCACTCGTTGCAACTCGTTGATTAAAATTAATAAGATCAAGTACACGTCAACTTTGAAATTATCAAATTTCTTCTGACCTGATAGTTATTTGGGGCGCGTTTTTTTACCCGTTGGCTTGAACCCAAGTGCGCTGGCAAGAAAATCAAGAAAGAAAGACAAAAATAACAAAAAAGAAAGTTCACGAAGTTCTAATGCCGGTGCCGATGCCTGATGCCTGCTGCCGATTCTCTACCTCTTGTCCCTTGAACTTGGGAATCTGAAATTTTTTCTTATCAACTTATGCCAATTTTTATCTTTGTTACCTTATCAAATTTACATGAAAGTTTCTAAAATCCTTCTGCAACTAACGTGGACGGCGTTGCTGTTGGGCGTCCTAAATATATTCGACATCGACTATTTAAAAAATTTTCATTTTCAATAAAAAATATATTTTTCAGAAGTACCTCCAAATTTTGAACATTTTGATCGTTTATCAAAACAAATTACAACTGGATCTTTTCTTGAAAATCTATCCCGAGAAAAATAAATCTTTTTGAATTCCCTTATCCTTACCTTTCGTTCTATTTCGCCATCTGAATTCCATTCCTGCTCCTGGAAGCTATCCTCGGAGACTTCGAAGTTTCTTCACCTTGAACACCAATCAGCTCCTGAAATTCAAAAAAGTTGGCAACAAAAAAAGAACTTTTGCTCATCCTTCGAAATTCTGGATTTTCCGCTACTTTTTCATAGGTTTTTTAAATTAGAAACTTTCAATTTTGATAATTGTCCGCAAAACGTCGAGGTTGCTCATCAAAAATTTTCAAGTCATTTCTTATATCTACTGAAAACAGGATGCCAGAATTTTTAAACTTTACCTATTCCCACTTCCTCACCTTTAGCTACTCATGTCGTCTTGATTCGAATTCCGCCAACACTGGAAACTGCCCTCGTAGCTGTCTTCGAAGTCTTCGAAGTTGACGAATCCCGAACACCATGCCCCTGAAAGTTTAACGTTGCAAACTGAACACTAATTTTCCCTTACCTTCAGCTACTCCTGTCAACTTGCTTCGAATCCTGCCGATCCTGGAAGCTGCCCTCGAAGTTGTCCTTGACGTCTTCGAACATGGGGCACCTGCTGGGAAAAAGGGAAATCAGGAAGACTCTGAACTTGAACGTTTAAAACTGAGTACTGACTTTTCTTCATAGTTCTAACTACTGGACATTTTGCCCCCATTTTGTTAGGCTTTCACGGAGGTCACATTAAACAGACTGTGAAATACTAGTTACCGTAAAACATGTAATAGAAGGGTCCTACTGTCTTAACTTTGCGTCAAGTTATCTCGGTCCCTGTCAATGATAGAAGAAAGTTGTCAATTGATAAATTATTCATCATGACATCCCAGAGTTCTTATTAGTTGACAACTTTTTCATATCGTTAACAGGAGTTGAGATAATTAAGCTAAAATTGAACGTAAATGGCGGGATATTATTAGAGGGGGACATGTATTGTGTTCACAGTTTTTTGTAACATAGGGCAAATAACTGTTTCATAAAATCAAGAAAACTCTTGAAACTCTGAAAATCTTAATTATTGTTTCGCAGCGAAACAAATACCGTAAACATTTTTTACACAAATTATGTTGCTGAGGGTACTTTTTTTTTCAAACAAAGGAAAACTTCACTGTTTCATGAAATCAACAAATCTCTATGAACTTCAAAAACTTTATTTGTAGTTCTGTAATTGTCTTTTCCTTTATGTATACCTTTATTTATTGGTCACAAACTCTAAGAATCGCGTTGTGTTCTCATGATGCAACTGCCGTTGTGTGTTGGTTGCGAAATTTCTGATTTCATTTCGAGTCTCCACCCCATAAGAAAATGTATAAATAATCAAGAAAAATACTAGCCCATAAACACCTAAAAATGTGTTTCTTTACTCATACAGTCGTTCTTGGTGTCGGATATTGGATTGGAAAACAGTATAGCGATGGATTTAGGGTTTGTTGATTCTTTTTTTGTAATTTTTGTGTCCATAACAGTAAACGTTTATAGGTTAGCCAACTTCCAATCGACCCAAATAATCCGAATACTCAAGAATATGTGATCCACGTGGAGAAGAAGCCAAATTGTGCGTTCTGGCAGAAATCCAGATGCTGTGAGGAGCACCCGAGTGTTCCTAAAAAAGAGGAATAATTTGTATTTTTTTATTATTGTTTTGCAAAGCTGTAGATTTATGGTATTTGATAAATAAAGCATAAACACTATCACATTTTACGTCGACATTAAAAATCTAAATTGAAACTCAAGTTTTACTTTTTTTTTCAACGATATTCAGGTGCTGAATTTTTTTAACCCAGACAGTGAAAATCACCCATTGAACGAAAATCCATTGGACTACTGTAACTAGTCTGTGAAACAGTATTTTTTAACTTTCAGAAACAGCTTCAAACTTTCTACTCATTTCAGGGAGACTGTCTAGTGAAAATAGAAATGAGACAATAATAGCTTTTCTCTAATAGAAGCCCACCCAAGCTGTCAATTTTGGGCTCAATTATCTCGGTTCCTATGAGAGATGTCAAAAATCTGTCCGCTGATAAAATATTGGTAATATTGTGATAAATAATTTTTCCTTTATCTTTTGAAGAAACCGAGAAAGTTGAGCTCAAAGGGAACGTTTAGGGTGGGCTTCTATTAGAGGTTTTAAATTTCTTCCATCGCTGGTATGAAACAGTTTGTTACTAGGTCAGCTTAATAGTTTTGCTGTTTGTTTTCCAGAAAACGGTACATTTCATTTTTCGAAGAAACCCCTAATTTCGGGAAAAAATCATTATTTTTCTTTGAAATTCGGTATTTCCAACTAGACTGGCCAAAAAAATTAGTCCCTCGACCACAGCGGACTTCCACAAAAGCATCTGTTTCAGATTTTCTACTTATCCACTATATATATATATATATATATATAAATATAATCTGAAAAGAAAAATGAGACATTATCGAGCTATCCACCGCTCCTTCTCTCACGCTGCAATGCTTGGAGTCGGTTACATGATTGGAAAATCTTACCGTTTCGGATACAAGGTAAAATATTTTGAAATATGTATCATGTGATGGTTGGTGTACCCAGTCAAAAAATTTCAAAAGAAGAATTGCGTGTTTTCCAGGTCTATCAATCGCCGAACGACCCAGATGCATCTGAAGTTTTATTGCGAGTAGAACGAAAAGAAGGTGGATATCCAATGTTTTGGGTAAATCCCTGGTGGAATCATCACTATCATCACTGTTATCATCCATCACATCATCATCAGAAAAATGGAACAGAAACGCAAGTGAATACCGAGATAAAGACGAATCCAGAACTTCTAAAGGTGGAAAAAAGTCAATAATATTTTTTTTTTGAATAAGGCCCTCAATTAATGATGTTTCCCATATTTAGATGTTATTGTACTGCACGTTAGAATTCTAAAGAAATGTTTATGATATCTGAAACTGGGAACCACAGAAAGGGGTTTTTCTAGAAAAAATTCTAGGAAGTTTACCTACACTTGACTAAAGTTGATTTCCACAAACTCATCTGTTTCACTGTACACATATTCAAATTCGAAGAAGTTGTCATCAATGTTATATTTTTTTACTAGAACAAAACATCGCTTTGAACAAGGACACAAACCCTGATAAATTAGACCCTCTCCGTGATGCAAGAGACATTTCGCAAAAGCTCCGCCCACCTAGGACTGCCTCTATAATTATAAAAATATATAATCTGAATAGAAAAATGAGACATTATCGAGCTATCTGCAGAATGGGATTCTTCTCTCAATGCTCCGAGTCGGTTATATGATTGGAAAACCTTACTGTTTCGGATACAAAATAAGATATTTTTTAATATGTTTGATGTGCTGGATCTCGGTCAGTTGTAATTTTCAAAACGGTAATTTCATGATTTCCAGGTCCGTCAAATTTCGTCAGAAACCAAGTATTCGGCTTCTCTTTTTTTTTCTCTTTGGAGAGAGCTGAAATGCCATACTGGTTTCTTTGGGAAGCCACCCAAAAATCAATCACTTACAGTTCTCGAAACCACTGGTGGATTTTTAGTTAACCTGGATTCAGATGACACGAAAAACAAGGCAAGGATCAAAACAAAAATTTTCATTTTTATTCGCGATTTACTATTAGATCCAAAATCGAATGGTTGTTTTCCATTTCGTGCTAGCTTTTATGTGTCTCAATCCTTCCTGTTTTTGTTTTGATAAAAAATTGAAACATGCTTATCAGATAAAACAGGATGTTTTTTCCGTTCTTAATTTCATAACAAACTGATAAAAATTGGTTTATAAGGCTAGTGATCTGAATAGTTGTATGCTTCTTTAAAATCTAATCATGAAGCGATTCCTCTTGATTGTTCTTTTTCTGGTCGTTATGGCTCTCGGAGCACCAAGCACCAAGAACCCGACTCAATCGGTTGGAACTCATATAAATTTGTAATTATTATTCAACTTTTTTTTTCAGTCTACCAAAACTCACGAGTTCGAGGAACTCAATCCAATCGATTATCGTGTTTGCTGCACCGGACAAAAAGATGTAACAATTTTTCAGTTTTTTATCCCAACCGTATTTCCTTCTCGTAGAACGCATTTTGAGCTCAATCGTTTCAGTTTCTAAAACAGATAGACAAAACCTGAAAGCGAGGCGGTCGGCGCCGGTTCATACCGGCATTTTTTTTTCAGTTGACTACTCTTTAATATCTCTTATGGGGACCGAGATAATTGAGTTCGAAGTGCAAGTACAGTGGTGGCGCAGCCAACGACGCCGACCGCCTCGTCAGCAGCGGCGCATGTTTTGAGCTGAATTATCTCAGTTCCCTAGAAGTATCAAAAATCTTTAAACTGATGAAATGTTGATGTTATCATGATAAAAATTTTATCAGTTGACAACATTTTGACATCTCTTGCAGGGATCGAGATAATTTATCTAAAAAAGGAGTTTCAGGGCACCATGGAATGCCACGGCTGTGACTTCGCGAAACCCCAAGACTTCAGAATTTGTTGTACTTTGTACAATGTAAGAAAACATATTTCAAAAGCCATTAAAATGTGTTTTCAGGGAACAATGAGCTGCCATGGATGCTAAACTTCTTGAACATGTCAAAAGGACTTTTTAAAATTTTTAAACAGATAACTAACAAAAATAAATCAATTAATCCCCATCAAAATTATAATCCACATGAACGAAGCATTGCTCTACGAAATTCAATTTTTGAATATTTTTTTTAGATTCAAACAATTTTGACCGGTAATTTTTCCAACGGTAATTTTTCATTAAAAACGACGTGAAGCTCAACTTGAGCGTTCAATTAAAGCTGTTCACTTTGAGCTCAATTATTTCAGTTGCCATAAGAGATTTATAAATTTTATTAGCTGATAAAATGTTTGTTGTAATAGAAGACTGTGGAAATTTAAGAATTTTTTCTCGAGCATTGATTCGGGAAAATGAAGCATTGTTATTGTTTTCATCACTTTTTTGAGAGAAAAGTTTTATGCTGGGAAGACTACTAAACTTGTTTGCATTTTGACACGCTTTTTTTTCTAATTTATTCAATTAATAAGAAGCTGTCACCAATCTCATACACGCCCTTTTTTCAGAAAAAAGGTCAACTTTTGAACAACGACACAAACTCCACTCTTTTCGTGATGCAATGGAGACATTTCGCAATCGCTACGCCTAGGCTCCGCCCATCTAGGACTGACTATATATATAAAAAAATAAAATCTGAAAAGAAAAATGAGACATTATCGAGCTATTCACTGCAGAATGGGCTTCTTCTCTCACGCTGCAATGCTTGGAGTCGGATATATGATTGGGAAATCTTACTGTTTCGGATACAAGGTAAAAATTTTTGAAATATGTATCATGTGCTAAGTGGCTTGTTTGATCATCTATCGACATAAATTCAAAAATAGGAAATGTGTATTTTCCAGGTCCATCAATTGCCGAACGACCCAGATGCATCTGAAATTTCATTTCGAGTAGAACAAAAAGAAGGTGGATATCCAATGTTTTGGGGAAATCCCTGGTGGAATCATCACTACCATCACTGTCATCATCCATTACATTATCAACAGAAGAATGGAAAAGAAGCACAAATTACCGAGAAGAAGACGAATCCAGAACTTCTGGAGGTGGAGAAAAGCCAATAACTAATTATCTTCTTAACTTCGAAAACTCACAGTGAATGATGTTTTTGATGTTTAGCTGTTATTGTATTGTACATTCGAATTCTGAATAAATATTTCTATAAACTGGAAGTTTTCTTTCAAGATTCACCGTAAAATCTGTAATGGAAGGGCAATCTGTAATAGAACTTATCGGTTCATTCAACGATATAGGAAAGTTGTCAACTGATAAATTGTTGATCTTAATATCACAAACATTATCGGCTGACATATTTTTGATATCTTGCAGAGTAGCTCTACAGTGTGAGATCTTTTGATAAAATATTTTCTAGTAGTAGTTTTTTTCATTCATATTTCCTGTTTCAAGTTCGACATAGAATTTTCCTAAAACTCCACACTGATCAGTCTCCCACTAATTTCATTTCCAACATTCGCAAAAAAGATCATTGGAGTTCGGCAATCTTCTAGAACAAATTTTCGTTGCTTGTGTTTAAAGCAGTATCGTTTTAGTATAAGTGCAGAATCATGGGTTCAAATTTTGGGACTCAGAATTATCACCAATTTTTTTCTCTTTCCTCGACTCCCTATTTCAGCATCTCGGCATTGAAATTTCAGACCTCTTGAAAGAAAACTTTCAGATTATATAGAAATTTCTTCAGAGTTATAATAAACAATTCAATAACAACTAAATATCAAAAACACCATTCATTGATTAGTGTTATGTACAAATCGAAACAATACAAAAAGGTTTATTGGCTTTTTCGCACCTCCAGAAGTTCTGGATTCGTCTTCTTCTCGGTAACTTGTGCTTCTTTTCCATTCTTCTGTTGATAATGTGATGGATGATGACAGTGATGGTAGTGATGATTCCACCATGGATTTCCCCAAAACATTGGATATCCACCTTCTTTTCGTTCTACTCGAAATGAAATTTCAGATGCATCTGGGTCGTTCGGCAATTGATGAACCTGGAAAATACGCAATTCCTATTTTGAATTTATAGGTGAAACAAGCCAATTAGCACCTAACGCGTATTTCAGAATATCTTACCTTGTATCTGAAGCAGTAAGATTTTCCAATCATGTATCCAACTCCAAGCATTGCAGCGTGAGAGAAGAATCCCATGTTTAGCTTGAATATTCAGTGAAAATGTTATAAATTCTCTAAAGAATGCTTATTATATTTATAGGTTTCTCCTGGGTTGCAATCCTAGGGGGGCGGAGCTTAGCGATTGCGAAATGTCTCCTCTTGCATCACGACTAGAGTTTGTGTCGCCGTTCAAAAATGACGTTTATTGGGGTTCATTTGAAGTGAAAAACAGAAAAATAAAAATTCATTAAAGATAGAGAAAGTGATACAAGAGAAGAGACCATTCGCAATGTTAAAACGATATGAAGAAAGACAACGAATCAAACAATTCAATAGTTAATAATGTTCTCTTTTCCGGTCTCCACCTCTCCATGGTTGTCTTGGTCCTCCACGATCTTGCCATCCACCGCGGTATCCTCCATACTGTCCTCTGCCACCACCGCCTTCGCCACGTGGCACCCAACCGCCGCGATTCTGATTGTTGTATCCACTGCCACCTCGTCCTCTGAAAATTTTAATTTTTTTTATTCTATTTAAGAAATGGCTTTAGCTCGTTTGTAACTACATTTTAATCTGGTTTTGGCTAACAGAAAGCTATCGGAATGGGTCAAAATCAAAAAAATCCTGATAAAATAATAATATTTTCAGTCTTTCACCTGAAGTTATTTCTCCTCGGGTCCCACGGATGTACTACTATCACTTTCTCGAATCCAGTCTCTGCCATTTTCTTATAGCGTTCATCTTTCTGCAAAATTCCGTATAACTTTTTAGTTTTAAACAATGAAATTCTTACCTCTGTATATCTATCCTTGAACAACTCGTCCAGACTTTTTGTCTCTGTCATTTTCTAGACTTTTTTTCTGTAAATTTTCGATAAATTTCCTCGAAAATCGTTCGCATTCGAAAAAATTTTTCAATTTCTCATTAGAGCGCACTTTCCTACACGCCGGGCATCATCATTTTTTGTTCAATTTTCTCTCAATTTCAGATTTTTTTGCTCAAAATTTTTTTAACTGATTTGTATTTACTCTAACACTTCTTTTTATTTTTCTGAACTTGGAAAATACAAAAAAAATAACTTCAGCGAACCATGGGTCTCTTGTCGCACCTTATCTCGATGGGTCTTGGAGCATACGCCGGAGCCTATTTCGCACAAAATTACGAGGTAAGTGGATGTCTTTCTTCTATTATTCAAATTTTTATTTTCTAATTTTCAGTTAGAAAGACTGCCATCAGCGAGTGAGATGATGAAGAAAGTAGAAGATTACCTGAAGCAATACAAAAAGGATCCATGACCCTATCAGAATCATATTTATATTTAGTCATTTTCATAAATTTTTACACATTTTAAACCAATTTCAGCCACAAAAATTTATTTTCAAATTGAATTCAGCCGAATTTACAGGGGGAGAGAGAGAGTGATGGGGGAAAATCGGAATAAATTATATTTACGTAGAGACGGCGAGATGGCTGAACACTCAATAAATAGGTTAAAATACAATAAAACGAAGCGAAGATTAACAAAAGCACACAGACAAGTATTTGATCGATACTCTTGGGATGCACCATTTCACTTTTTCTCCTCGTCGTCCTTCTTCTGAAAAGATAGTTTAGCTTATGGGGGAATTTATGGATAAGCTCTTACCTCGTTGGTTCCAGAAGGCAAATCATCAACAATCTGTTGAAGAAGGTCTGGATTGTTCAGCAAATCATCAAGATTGTCAGCCTCTGCAGCTGGTCCCGCAGCATCCACATCCATTTGTTCCACTTGTTGCCCTGCTCCGGAGGATGGGGCGTTTTCTTGCATTGAGAGTCGAAGTGCCCATTCCAACTGTTGCTCCTCAGTCATCGCTCCCATATCCATTTCTTCATATGGCACGGCTCCGCCGGCAGCCATGTCTTGATCAGCTGCAGCATCTGGAGCAGCACCTCCATTTGCAGCAGCAGCAGCGGCTTGACGAGCACGCTCCTCTTCCATGGAAACACGGAGAGCCAACGCCAAATCTGGATCATTGTCAACATCCATTCCGAAGGCGTTATCAGCACCACCTCCACCAGCACCGAACGCTGCTTGTCCATCTTCATTTTTGCATACACTCGACTGTAGCAAAGCGTCAGTAAGGGAAGATCCAGTTGGGACAACCACGAGCGATGATCCAGTTCCTTCCTTTCCATTCAACGTATCCACGAACGACGAGAATTTCTCATGACCATCGGTATCGCTGTCCCCAAACATGACAACGTCGCACAGAACCTTTTCCTTCTTCATTTTCTTCCCGATCTTCACCAACTCAGCAGCATCGATCTCTTCGAGCGGAGATCCTATGAAGAGGACAACGCGCATTTTGTGATTACGGTTCTGGCGATGCTTGAGAGCAAGATGAGCAATTTTGATACCGGCGATGAAGTTGCACTTTCCAAATGGTTCGATCGAGTGCGTCTTCATCATCAGACGTCCTTGTTCAGTTGACAGGCTAGATAGAACCTGGACGCTACTGAAAAAGGGTGCGATTTAGAAGTATTACTACTGTTCTCAAAACTTACTCTGCCATAGAGAGAATACCGACGGCATTTTCTGGATTGGCTCTCAATTTGCACTGTGTAACAAGATTGATAGCATCTTGTTGAGCCTGAAGACGAGTTGGCTGGAAATCTCCGTTGCGCATCCATTCGGAGTTGTCGACACAGATCATTGTGCTTTCTTGGACCATTTTGAGCGATTTCTGGAATGATAATATAGTTAAAAGCAAGAAAATCTCGAGGGGAGATCCAAAAACAGATATTTAAAACGGTATTTCAACCGAATTAATAGTAGAAGCAGTGGAGAATATAATAGAAACTGACATATCCTTTGTAACAAAAACAAAACAACAAGATCAAGGTAAATAAAGGAAAATACACTAAACGCTAGCCTGGAATTAATAGATATGATTTTTATTGGGGTGTCGTTGGAGCGTGCTCTTTCATGTGCTCGAAGACCGGAAAATCTTCTGTGAAATCTTTGGTTTTGCTGTACAGAGGGAATTCTTTTCGGATAGAGTATCGAGCCAGTTCTTCGTCACGTGGTGTTGTCAGTGTAGGTGAAATCATCTGTAAAGATACAAATAAATGGCTGCCAATAGTTTTTTTTAACTGACTTGTTTGGATTCGTCTACTGAAATATGTGTAACTCTTCCCAACATTGGCACAATGTATTGCTGGTTCACGACAAGGTAGAATCGGAATAGTTTGGCTTCGATATCAAAGTTAGGTCCGCAAATTGGTTTCGCAGCAAGGAAAATAGTGTTTTCGGCGACAAAAACTCCCATTTGTCGAAGAGAACTCTTGACAACTGTCGTATCGATCGTCCATTCATTTTCCATATTAACCTTGATGGGCACCACCATTTTTTGTAAATCTCTTCCGACGACTTTGAGTTCATATGGGATTCTGACGCGTGATGCGAGCTCATCAGCCATTCGCTGAAAAAGGTATTATATTATTTTTAAATGTTTTGTTTAAAATTCATTCAGAACTTACGGTTTTCATATCAGCATAATACTTCAAATCGAACGGCGACGCGTAGACAGCCTTCTTGGAGAGCAGCAAATCTTTACGAGCCAGGGTACGATCGACGCTGACTGTATCGAACTGATGGCCGATTCCTGTGAAAAATCAAGGCTGAAAACTGAACAAAAAACAGGAGACTAACCTTCCACGTCCTGGAGTAAAATAACTTTGATGGGGCCCGCCGATTTCTGTGTTTCGACTTCGACAACTTCGTACTTTTGATAGTCATGGAAGTCGTTGGGGTTTTTTTGAATGCCACCAGGAGGTGTAGCTTCTGGTTGGAATACTCGCCGAAGAACCCATGTGTTCTGAAGAAGCTTAACATCAGAGAATAAAAAATACAAACTTACTCGGCTTGACTGCAGGTTTAAATGTCTCGCAAGCCGGTGAAGATGTGTGGCTGGAAGCATAACTACCTAAAACTTCGATTCTTTAGCAAGCTTTCTTCAAAATAGGGTAGATTTTGAGCTGAAAATATTCACAGAAACTTTGAAAAAAAAATTGAATGAGAAAAGCGAAGTGCGCGCTGCTGCCAATGATGACAAATTTAAAGGCGCACACACTTTCGTAAACAGAATATCTCGACGCGCGTCTGCTCTAACTTGGTTTTTTCTCTGCGCTCTCTCGCCTCTACACACACTTTCGCATCCATCGCATGTATTTTAAATTTCGCCGCAATTTATTCAATTTTGCCAGATATCCGTGCTTCCTCGCTGTTTTTTTCAACAAAAACACAATTTGAATTCTCTGCAGCTCACATTTGTGTCATTCGCTTCTCAAAGAGCTAAATTTATGACGAATAATGGTAGTTTTTTTCAGATCCAAAGATCTTGGGAAATGGCTCCAATCCCGAGTCGGGCGAGGGTCTATGGCGAAGTAAGTTTTATCAATTAAACCAGATTGCTGACAACACTTTGTATTTGCTGAAATTATCCGTTTTGTTCATATAGTTTCGAGTAATGCGGATAGTTTTGATTCTGTTAAAAACCGGCACAACACGAGTAGGTTAAAACACAAATTTTATGTCATGAAGAACCCCGGAAAAATAAAAATTCAAATCAATAAATTTTATTGAAGCACTTGTTTTCTAATTTGATAAGAACTTTATTGGCAAATAATGCATGTTTGATAGTGAACTGATAGTTTTTAATTGCAATTCTCATTTTTATTTTCAGATCAATCCGTCAAGACCTCGCGAGTACTGGGACTATGAGGCTCATATGATTGAATGGGGTCAAATCGATGATTATCAGCTCGTGCGCAAGTTGGGGCGTGGAAAGTATTCGGAGGTTTTCGAAGGATTCAAGATGAGCACTGACGAGAAGGTCGTCGTCAAGATTCTCAAGGTATGTTCTGTTCACGAGACGATCAAATTAAAATTGAATTTTAGCCTGTAAAAAAGAAGAAGATCAAGCGTGAGATCAAGATTTTGGAGAATCTGCGCGGAGGAACGAATATCATCACTCTGCTTGACGTTGTGAAAGATCCCATATCGAGAACACCAGCACTGATTTTCGAGTAAGCTTGTTTTTTAAATCAAAAAGTTTCTTTCAAAGAAAAAAAAACAATTTCAGGCATGTGAACAACTCGGACTTCAAGCAGTTGTATCAAACATTGAGTGATTTCGATATTCGTTATTATCTCTATGAGCTTTTGAAGGTATTTAAAAATTAAAACCTGTTTTTTTCAATATGTTATCTTTTTCAGGCTCTCGACTTCTGCCACTCCCAGGGAATTATGCACAGAGACGTGAAACCGCACAATGTAATGATTGATGCCGAGAAGCGGGAACTGCGATTAATAGATTGGGGATTGGCCGAGTTCTATCATCCAAGACAGGATTACAATGTTCGAGTCGCTTCAAGATACTTCAAAGGACCAGAACTTCTTGTCGATTACCAGTGCTACGATTACTCGTTGGATATGTGGAGTTTGGGTTGCATGCTGGCAAGCATGATCTTCAGAAAGGAACCATTTTTCCATGGACACGATAACTATGATCAGGTAATCTATGTTTTAAAAAAAAATTGTTGGACCACACCTTTCAGTAAATGATTTTCAATTAGTTAATACTGCTTTATTTCAGCTGGTACGCATTGCGAAGGTTCTGGGAACCGATGAACTTTACGAATACATTGAGAGATATCACATCGATCTTGATCCACGTTTCAACGACATTCTCGGAAGACACTCGCGAAAGCGCTGGGAGAGGTAGTGGGAGAAGTTGTCAGTATTTATTCAATTTAAAAAAAATTACAGATTCATTCACGCTGAAAATCAACACCTTGTGACTCCTGAGGCACTCGATTTTCTTGACAAACTTCTCCGCTACGATCATGCGGTGAGTTTTCATTTGAAAACAGGTTTTGATGTTGTTGTTGTTTGAGAAAGATTAATCTAACGATTCTCTAAAAAATATTCTGAATAATTCAGGAACGTCTAACCGCCCAAGAAGCAATGGCTCATGAGTACTTCCGCCCTGTTGTCGAGAGAAGCCGTGCCAATGGAAACGATCATGGAGCTGATGGACAGGGTGCATCCAACACCGCCTCTTCTCAATCGTCCGATGCCAAAATTGACGGCGCCTAATTCCTCTCTTCTCTCTCTCTTTCTTCCACTTCGTTTTGCTCTTTTTCTGTTGACCGTTCCATTTTTTGTCTCTTTCCTCCTCTTTTTTTCTCTTTTTCTCTGAAAATTTGGCTTAAAATCTTCACTCGCCCCCACTCTTTTGAAATTAGCTCCCTTTATACGAACCATAAAAGTGCCTATTTTCGTGAAATGTTACTCCAAGTGTAAAGTTCTATTTCAGGATTTTCGTGCAAATCAAGGCCTAAAAATTAGTTTCTTTTTGTTCGAATAGCCAATCAAAAACCGTTAATTTTTTCTAATCTTAACATTTTCTCTTCAAAAATCCTTGTTCTCCTTCATCTCTTCTTCATCTTCACCCCCCTCCTCATTCTCAAAATCGCCCCCAAAAACCCACAATCATCTTCTACACATAAACCGCAATGTTTTTGCACTATAATTGTTTTATACTGTATCTGAAATAATTCCTTCGGTTTCTGAAACCTACTATTTTCATGATGTTCTAGTCGAGATTTTGGGGGTTTAGTGATAGTATTATAGTGTCGAAAAATGCTGAAAGGACGCTTTTTACTTCGAGCTATCGCTCGACGAACAATGGCTTCAAAAATTGAGCCCGGAGCGCCTCAACCTATTTATCTGGATGTTCAGGCAACGTCGCCAATGGTAAGATCTGCTAGAAAATAAATATTCTGAAAATATTGGTCCAGGATCCGAGAGTGGTTGACGCAATGCTTCCGTACATGATCAATGATTTCGGAAATCCTCACTCTAGAACTCACTCCTATGGGTGGAAAGCAGAGGAAGGCGTCGAGCAAGCGAGAAAATATGTCGCGGATCTTATAAAAGCAGATCCACGTGACATTGTTTTCACTTCTGGAGCCACTGAATCGAATAATCTAGCAATTAAAGGAGTGGCAAAATTCAGGAAGCAATCTGGCAAAAATCATATCATCACACTGCAAACTGTTCGTTTATAAGATCATTCAAAATGAAAATGTACAATTTCAGGAGCACAAATGCGTTCTAGATTCATGTCGATATTTGGAAAACGAGGGATTCAAAGTCACATATTTGCCAGTTGATAAGGGAGGAATGGTTGATATGGAAGTGAGAAAATTTGAATTTTGAATATTTTGAGAATTATGGGTTTTCAGCAACTTGAGCAATCAATCACCCCTGAAACGTGTCTTGTTTCCATTATGTTCGTCAATAATGAGATTGGAGTCGTTCAGCCGATTAAACAAATTGGTACAGTTTTTTTTCCAAAAAATACCGTATTTTCTCTCATAGAAGCCCACTTATGGGGGTTATTCAGCTAGGTAAAAAACCCCATTAAACCATCAACTTCGAGCTTAATTATCTCGTTTCCTGTAAAAGATATCCAAATTTTGACAACTGATGAATTAATTATCATAACATCAGCAAGATTTTATCAGTTGGTAAGATATTAATATCTTTTACAGGAATTGTGATAATTGAGCTCAAAGTTGACAGTTTGTTTTTAGAGGAAATCCGGTATCTAAACTTTTTTCCAGGTGAGCTCTGTCGCTCGAAAGGTGTCTACTTCCACACAGACGCTGCTCAGGCCACCGGAAAAGTTCCAATTGATGTGAATGATTTGAAAATCGATTTGATGTCGATTTCTGGTCATAAAATCTACGGACCAAAAGGCGCCGGCGCTCTATACGTTCGCCGCCGTCCGCGCGTTCGAGTGGAAGCACAAATGTCTGGTGGTGGACAAGAGAGAGGTCTCCGATCGGGTACTGTAGCTGCTCCACTTTGTATCGGTCTTGGAGAAGCGGCAAGGATTGCTGGTCGGGAAATGGGTGAGTTTTTAGCTCTAAAGAATTTTTCGAAAAATAAAGGTCGGTGTTTTAGAAATGGACAAGGCACATGTGGAACGGCTATCTAGAATGCTGATCGACGGAATCAGTGAGAAGCTGACACATATTATTCGAAATGTAGATGAGAAGCATGCATATCCAGGATGTGTGAATTTGTCATTCGCTTATGTTGAAGGTTAGTAAGCAGTTTTTGTTTTTCAAAAATTCGTTCGAACTGTAAAGGTGGTGGCATAGAAAAATGTTAAATTACCTAGAAACCCCAAAAGATAAATCAATTTTAGGTCATTGGTGGCCTAAAAAACTTAACTTGCCAAAGTCAGGCCAGCATGTTAAAATGGCATAGGAAACACTCCAGGTGAATGTCAGGGCATTTCTAGGATATTTTCCATGGTGACCTAGAAAACTCAACTTGTCAAAGTTCGACCACCATCTTAAATGACCTAGAAATCCCACCAGGTAAATATCAGGTCATTTCTATATCATTTTTCATAGTGGCCTAGAAAACCCAACTTGCAAAAGTTAGGCCACCATGTTGAAATGTCCTAGAAAACATATGAGGTGCTAAGACCATTTCTAGTTCATAATAATTGGTGGCCTAGAAAAACCATTTTGAAAAAGTTAGGCCACTCTATTCCTCACATTGAACCGAAATATGTTAATCAAACTATTCCACTTTTTCAGGAGAATCGCTTCTAATGGCTCTGAAATCCATCGCCTTGTCTTCTGGAAGTGCATGTACATCTGCATCCCTCGAACCCTCGTACGTGCTCCGTGCCATCGGCTCCGAAGAAGATCTGGCTCACTCTTCGATCCGCTTTGGGCTTGGAAGATTCACAACAGAAGAAGAAGTCAAACATACAATTGATTTGTGTGTCAGAGAGACGGAGCGGCTCCGTGAGCTCAGTCCACTCTGGGAAATGGTTCAGGAGGGAATCGATTTGAAGAGTATTCAATGGACTCAACACTAAATTCTTTGTAAATTTCTGTTTTTTATAGTTTGTTGCCTCATTTTTTGTGCCTTATTATTTATTTGTGGTAGTGGTTATTATTAGATTTGAAGTTTTTATTTTACATGTTTATCAATACATAAGAGATCAATTTCACACTATTCTAGAGCTGTCCAGGATTTCAAAAAGTATTCGGTTTTGTTGATCATTTTCTCCATTACCGACCCGGAAGCCGGCCAGTGTTTGTAGTAATAAACGTCTGGATTGGCATTAACATTCAAGTAGGGCTCCACCATCCGAAAGTTCCAGTTGACATTATCACACTATCACACGATGATAAGATTGCCATATCGACTTCTCGAGGTCCAGGGCAGTAGAAGTGGGCGGTCTCTTTTCCAAGTTTCAAGTTTCTTCTGGCCCATGCCACGTCATCTGAGCAGATTACAAAGGCGACCTGGAAAAATTAAAATATGAAATTCAGAATAATTAGAAATCGAACATTATCATAAATTCCTGAAATCTGCTGAATCGCTCGCCGGTAATACTCGATGGGAGTGTCCACATGACCATGTTTTCGGTTTCGCGAATTCATTGAAATGTCCATTCCGTGTCGAATGTGGACTCCGACGATCATTGTTTTGGCAAATGCTAAAAACTGGTTATCGGTGACTGATTATGGTGGTCATTTTGAAAAAATTGTATGTTGAACTTGAAACAGGAAATACGAATTCAATGTTTCCAAATTACCACCGTAAACGCCATAATAAAAGAGTCCCTGAACTTCCGATTTGAGCTCAATTATTTCCGTTCCTATAAATATGTATGTCAATATCTTGTCAAATTTATCATGATGTTACCGTTCAAAGTTATAAGTTTAGGAGGTCATTCTATTACAGGTTTTACGGTATTTCAGTTCAAAATTGTCTATACGTCTGAAAAAAAAAAACGTAGAACTTGTCTGTTTGGTCTGAAAATTCCAGAGACTGTACATCAATTTTGAATTAACGACTTTCTAGTAAAATTGCTTGCTGAAAAATATATCATTTGCAACAAAAAACGCCTCAAAAATTAAAAACTGTATCTTCTCTAATTGAATAGTACCCAATTTGAGCTCGATTATCTTGGTTCCTTCAAAAAATACCAAAAATTTGTCAACTGATAAATTATTTATCATAATATCACCTATATCTTATCAGTTGACACATTTTTTATCTTGCATAGGAACTGAGATAATTGAGCTCAAACTGGACAGTGAGAAGGCCCTTCTATTACAGGTTTTACTTTTTCAGATGTCTAAAAATACAGTAAATTTTTCAGATGTCTAAAAATACAGTGTTATCTATGTAGACAATGATTGCAGCATATCTCATATGGATGGATTAGTAAAAAATATGGCCAGCTAAAAGATTGAAGTTAATTTTATTTAGTAGACCTGAAGACGTTCAGACTGACCTGACAAAATTGACTATATTTTTTAGACATTCGAATTGACTTTTCTCTATTACAATTAGGGAAAATTGATAATTTTTAGCCGGAACTGAAAATGGTACTGTATTTTTTAAATTCAAGATTTTTAAAAGTTCAAAAATTTTGTGTCAAACTATATAATACTCAGACATTTTTTTAAAAATGAGTGGGAAGAGCTTAAATTTAGAGGATCATAGTCAGGAATCGGTATTTGAGTTTTTCATTTTTTTAATCCCAGCCCCCAAAACTAACCATCCTCTTCTGGCATTTCGAATGCTTGATCATCATTCGCTACGTTTGTCTCAATCATCCGAGCACTTCGCACAGTCAGCGATATTCCGACGTTTTCTAGAAATTCATCGACCTAAAAAATGCAAAATGTTCTACTCACCATCAGAATAGATAAGCAATAATTCTCCCATTTTTTCCGTAAAACTAAAACTTGTGAAACAGCAAAAAAATATTACATTGGTAAAAAAGTAATGCGCGTTTTTGATGTACTCAAAATTAATGCAAACCAAAACGGAAGTATATCAATCGATGGGGTATTTTTTATCATTATCGACTCTTTTCTGCCAATTTATGAGCAAAGATTGGATGCATCTGTTGTAGAACTACACTAGCTGTGGTTCGAAGTTGTTCTGACCAAACGCGCATTACTTTTTTACCAACCTATTAATTCAAAAACACTCACCAATTTCCTAATTGGCGACACAAAAGTGAACATTTTTTTGATAGTTTTCTCCGAATCTGGATGGAAATATCGAGAATTTTGAAAATATCCATCGATTTTCTGGATTCTATGATGTCCATGGAAAAGGGCTAAGTGAGATTACGGTAGGAGCAGCAACTCTGGAAGCTTAGAAAGTTTTTTGAATTACATCCCAATTAGGCAAGTGTACCAATGAAAAGAGCATCTATGAATTACAAAACTATTTTATTTACAAAACTACTGAAACTGTAAAGAGACTCTGAAAGTTTAAAGGGGGACTCCGACCAGAAATTTTTATTGCATTAAAATGTGTTAAAATTTATCTATTTTTCAAATATTATTGCGAAAAAATTCAAAGAAAATCCGAAATCCCCGAAAAACGGCGTTGAAAAGGAAGAAAATTCAAAAAAAAGGTGCCGCCGGGGGACGAGGATTTTCAGTGAGAAACCTAGGCCACGGCACCTGACAGCCTTTTTTTCAAGTCGCCGACAGTGGTTTTTTACGTTTTTTACCTGCCGGACATGAAATTGAAAAAAATCCGGAAAATTTGCC